CATGCAAAACTGTCGACAGTTGTTATCATAATCATTAGATTGGCCCATGGCTATTTTTCCAGTATGGCAATATGCCTTCGTTTTTGTTGTTTTTTTGTTTAGATTTTTTTTCTCTTTTTTCTACTTTTTTCAGATTTCTAACTGAATAAAAATGATATTTTCCATGTATGAATTCACGAACTATTTATTGTCTTGCTTTTGTCTTACAGTGAATCTCTATTGAAAGATTTAGATTTTATGGTAAAAAATTGTTTAAGAAATCAAGGACATTTTTTTTAAATGAGTTGAAGTAAGTAATTGATAATTAAATTGAATAATTGTAATGTATATTTAACATAGTGTTTCTGTTGGGAAAAATATTACTTGTAAAAAAATCGAAGTATATGTAGTATAGGCATTCACTGTTTAACACCAGTCATAACTTTAAATTAATTTTATTTTGGAAAAAAAAGGTATACATAAATTTTAGTTTGATTTTGAAATTCCCTTAATTATTTCATTACTAAGTTTTAATTGGGAATGTTAGTGCAGTAAGAGTGGGTAATTTGACAATGTACAGATCACCAGGTCAATGAAATTCTGCCTCATGCTTTTGAAAGTGGCTAGGTATATTAAAATTGATTAAATTATGAATACTGATACATGTTAATGAATGCTTTTTTTTGTTTATTTTCACAAATTTCATAAATTTGTATTTTTATATGATACATTTTTGATATCCTACAATAATTAATTGCATATCGTCACCTAAGTGCAGTAATGGGTTAAGTCCTAAATTTTATATGAGTTAACCAGTTATTGCCTAAGGTGACGATATATTTTTGTATACAAAAACTAACAAAAATATGTGATCTGCCCCCCTTGCGGTACGTGCGGCCATTGAAAGGTCATCTGTCCTTCTAAGCCTCCGTGGGATCGAAGAAAAGAAGCAATATACAAATAACAGTTTTGTTGTTTGGGGGTCTGTACTTTTTATGTTCATGTATATTTACAGAAAATAAAAATATGAAAGATGATTTTTATTATTAACGAAAGCATATCAAATTTTGCGGTGGTATTTGTTGCAGACGTAATCCTCCAAAGTTGCGACTGGTACTTTTTTATATATTTTTTTCTTAAATTTTTTTTTTCCATCTCGATTTTGCGTTATGTTTTTTTCTTCTCTTATTTATTATAGGACGGGATATCTTTTTTAATGTTTTTTTAAAAATGGATATAGAAATACCTGCGGCTTAACCTACTTAAAAACATATCACCCAATGGAGGGGGTGCTGGATTGCCTAACCCTCGCTTGTTTATTACAGATAGCCTTGACATAGCAGAATTTTCGCCACAAACCAGCTTCCCCAAAAACTTCACAAGCAAGTTTAATAGGAAAAATATTCAGAATGTGGTAAGTTTGGGAGAAAAGCGTAACCATGACAACTGGTTCTTTTTCGTTCTATGTTATTTCTTTTATCTCTATTCAGACGTGAGATGGTCATATTTATCATGCCCAGCTACTTTAGTATACAAGTAAACAGGTAAGTACTGTTACATGGGAAAATCTATACATGTTTTTTTTTCAAATTTTCACTCCTACTCTAGAATGGGAGTAGGAATTTCGTTATTAGATATGGACTTGGAATGGCTGGGGCTCACGTCTTTGAAAAAGGTTTGGAACGGCGACGTAGCTATCGCCTGGAACAACCATCTCTGTTATATTGAAGACTTAGATTTAAGCCCTATTTTAGCATTCCCCACCCAGGAGTTAAAGCTGAAAGACAATAAGGAGAAAGCCGAGTGTGGTAAATATAAGGCAGCAATAGGTGCCGGGCACAAATGTTTTAACGCCTTTCTGAGTGGTTTTGTGTGTTTTTTTTTAGCTCGACTATACGAAGTATATGGAGAGCTGTCCTACTCGCCCCGGCGTCCGCGTCCAGATTTCAGATTAAAGTTTTGGTGCAGTAAAATATTTTTCACTATAACTTTGTCATTTCTTAAGGTATCAACTTCAATCTTCAAATATATGTTCCTTTTTCTCTCAAAAAATACTATTTTTTACTGTAACTTCTTTATTTCTTAAGGAATCAACCTCATACTTCAAATATATGTACCTTATCATCATCCTCATCTTATGTGACAAGGTTCATAACTCTAGCACCAATATTTTAAGATTTACCTCCCCTTGAACTAAGAATTTTCCTTAAAAAATATTTTTTTTACTGTTACTTATTTATTTCTAAAGGGATAAACTTCATACCTCAAATATATGTACCTTATCATCATCCCCATCTTATGTGACAAGGTTCATAACTCTAGCACCAATATTTTTTGATTTATCTCCCCATGAACTTAGAATTTTCCTCAAAAAATACTATTTTTTACTGTAACTTCTTTATTTCTTAAGGGATCAACCTCATACTTCAAATATATGTACCTTATCATCATCCCCATTTTATGTGACAAGGTTCATAACTCTAGCACCAATATTTTAGGATTTACCTCCCCTTGAACTAAGAAGTTTCCTTAAAAATATTATTTTTTACTGTTACTTATTTATTTCCAAAGGGATAAACTTCATACTTCAAATATATGTACCTTATCATCATCCACATCTTATGTGACAAGGTAATATTGCAAGAATTATCTCCCCATAAATTTAGTTTTTTTACTAGAAAAATGTTATTTTTTACTATATTTATTTTAGTTTTAAAAGTATCTACCTCAAACTTAAAATACTTATTCCTTATCATCAATTTCATTTTATGTGACAATGTTCATTACTTTTGAAGCAATATTTACAGATTTATCTTTCTTTGAACTTATGATTTTCTTTAAGAAATATTATAACTTCTTTACGTTTCAAGGTATCTACTTCAAACTTCAAATATATATTTCTTATCATTACACACATGTTGTGTTACAAGGTTCATAATTCTAGCATGACTATTTCTAGAAATATTCCCCTTGATCTTGGAATTTATGTTACAATTTACTCCTTACTGCGTCCAGTATTTTATGAGTCGAGCTTCGCTGTCTCCTGTGACAGCTCTTGTTTTTAAATGTGCTTAAATGAAGCTTCTTTATGTGATGTCTTGTTTGATGTCTATATATAAACATGTTTGAAAAGTTCTGATCGAGAAACGAATTTGATCAAAATTTGGCGTTTGGATTTTTTTTTTAAAAATGGAAGGAACATATTATGTTTTTGTATGACTAAGATTGGTATATAGATGTCAGTCAATGCAGGCACATCGAGAAGTCAGCATTGTACTTTTTCCATAGTCCTTTGTGCCTTTTAAATACCTGTTTAATCATTTCATTATTTCCCAGGTGTGCTGGTCTTCCCACCCCTTTTCACATCATTAGCATTATGTTCTGTTTTAAAGATGTGTCCATTTAAGTGAAAAATGATAATTTCATCATCATTCTTTAATTTCTTACTAGTACTAACATTCTTTTGTTTCTTTTAGAGGATTCGTATAACATCGCGACCATTTTTATGTCCTGTTTAGAAGCATCCATCATGACATATTTGATATTTTGCTTTTTGAGCAGCAGTCGACGTAATCTGAAAGGTCATTGTCATTTATTTAAACCAGAGGTCACATATAGCTTAAAAAACAACAAAAACAAAATCTTTGTATTCAATCATCATATTACTGTAGTGGCCAGAAAGCATAGCTCTGTTTCGTTTTGTTTCTAAACTGAATTATAGAAAAATACCTCTTCTTTTACTCTCATATTGATGAGGTCATATTCTAGGTCATTTTGACCAATTGTCTTTACTCTTTTTTATGTTTTATCATTTCAACTTTTGTGTATCACCAATCAACCTCTTGTGTTCATCATTACCATCCATGAATATCATTACGACTTTTGTAAATCCTTACCACTTCTGTTGATCATTACCACTTACTGAAGTCATTATTACTTGTGGTCATCATTACCACTTGTGTTTAACATTATCCCTTGTGTTTTCCCTTGTGGCCGAGGAATTGCCTTTAATGTTGAGGCATGGGAACATCAGCCACTGTTTATCCCTGCCATGGCTGTAAAAGGCAACTAAATGGGTTCGAATTACTTGAGTCTATTTAGCAGGTGCGGTGGTTTTGACCCCTCGTGTTGCTTTAAGTTTGTAATACCGAAGGTTTGCTAAAATAATCCTTCCTCTTTCAGTGCCATATATGTTCTGAATTGTGTTGTCGTGTAATCAAAGTCATTGTCAGAACATACATTATCATCATAGTCATAGTCAGATCATACATTGTCATAGTCAGATCATACATTGTCATCATAGTCATTGTCAGAACATACATTGTCATCATTGACAGAACATACATTTTCGTTGTCAGAACATGCATTGCTATCATTGTCAGAACATACATTGTGATTGTCAGAACATACATTGTTAGAACATACATTGCCATCATTGTCAGAACACTGCTTTATCTAAATGAAAAAAATACAACCTAGGTTGCACTTCTATGATTTGAATAATTAGACGGTTTTCATAATTTTGATGTCTTTCTTCCCTTCAAAATTTATCTATCTGTCTCCTAAGTCTCATTTGGTTTTGCTAAACACTTCAGGTTTTTGTTACAAAATTGTTTTGAGCTATTCTATTGTATATCAAAACATTAAACTTCTGTATACGATTGGTCTGAAAGGATATTAATCTAAAGGCTTTTTGTCTGTTTTCATAAACGATTTTTTCATGAAAAATAGTTATAGATTGCATGCTGCAATATCAAAATTGATACATGTAGCTACCATGCAAACATACAGACAGAGAGCTTAATTTGATTACATTTTTCTAATTGTAAAATATTTGTAGAATTATTTTCTCTCTTTCTAATTAGATAATGCTCATGTTTTTAGATGCCATGGGTCTTAAATGTCATTCTGAGTGCTCGGATCATGGATGCTGGGGTCCAGGACCAGACAAATGCCTTAAGTGTAAAGCAGCACGCATGGCTGTAAATAATACATGCTTGGCAACCTGTGATGATGTACCCATGCTTTACCAGGCAGAAAATAACACATGTAAACAATGTCATATCCAGTGTGCCGGTGGTTGCTCTGGTCCGGTAAGTTTGTTGCCTGTACAATTTAATTCAAAGCTTAATGATGAATGTTTAATAATTTAATATGACCTTGACCTTTGAACTTGAATGTCAGTGTCAAATATTATTGAAAGTCACAACTTTGTCATTTATTTACAGATTTGATTTGATAAATACTTTTAAAAAACAACACATTTGACAAAACCGACTTATCTTTAAATGACATTGATCATCAAATTATTATGCATCCCTTTCAAAGAAATTTGGGTATTTGTAGACCAAACTGTTTACGATCAATTATTTAGGAACGCCTGGGCCATTTGTCAATTTGGCCAAATGGATTGGTCATGACTAGTAGATGAACCCTTTTGATTTTAATGGTCATATATAAAAACTGTTTCAAACCAATAACTCAACAACCCATAAGATCTTGGACCTCAAACTTAACAGGTGCATTTGTCTGGCCAAGTAAATGATTAATATTATGGTCAAAGGTCAAGGTCACACTGACCTTTATATCAAAACAGTTTTCAATCAATAACTCGTCAACCCATGGGCCCTTGCCCTCAAACTTCAAAAGTGCATTGGCTTTAGCCAGTAGAAGACCCCTATTGAAGTTTGGGTGAAGGGGTCAAAGGGCAAGGCCATATTCACCTTGTATGTATGTTTAAATGGTTTATGACCAATAACTGGACAACTTGGCTATTGGGCATCCAACTTCACAGGTGCCAATAGATGACCCTTTTAATTTTGGAAAGAGGCCAAAAGTCAAGGTCACATTCACCTTGTATGTCAAAATGGTTCCCAACAATCTATCAGCCCTCAAACTTCGCAGGATAATTAACTTGGCCAGTAGAAAACACATATTGATTTTGTGGCTGCAGAGTCAAAGGTCAAGGTCACATTTACCTAGTATGTCAAAATGGTTTCCAACCGATAACTTTCAACCAATAGGCGCCTTAGCCCTCAAACTTAATAGAAGCTTTGGTCTTAGGCAATGTTTGACCCCTTTTGGTTTTCTGTGGTCGCGGGCTGGAGCAATAGATTGAGCATTTCTGTTTTGAAAACACTTTTTGTTAAATCAATTATAAATTCTCAAAGCTTTGTAATAATTTATAGATTTGTTTCATAATTGAACAATTGAAAATTATTTTGGACTGAACCAAGCTATTGAAAAATGAAAAAGAAATGACCCTATTGTATTTTATTTCACTTATTATAATTTCTTGAACGAAAGAACTGTTATGAAAAACTGATATGATGATTAATTTAGTGTGAAATTGATCTGTAAATGATATTGGCTGTCAAGGTCAGAAATTAAATTAAATTAAATTTATATTTTGTCCAAGAAATGATATTTTTTCAAGAAATATTCTTCCTTATGATATATATTTTTTCTTCCAATGGGTTTCACTTTAGAAAATAAGAAAAAGTCGAGCATTGCTTTATACATTGCGATGGCTATTGTTGTTTAACCTTTTCCCTTATATAAGCGTGTTTCGACGGCTTTTTGCCCCCCCCCTTTTTGAGGCCCCAAACAGTGAAAAAATGTCCTATTTAGACCCCAAACACTGTTTTTCGTTTGAGAAATGTTGTTAAAAAAAGTGACCATTTTTTCGGCGCCGTCCCCCATCCAAATAATACATCAAGGGGTTGCCAGAAGGGGGATATGCCCCCTTCTGTTTGGGGGGTTTGAAGGGGGGCGGAGTCCCCCTCATCGCCAAGAAAATTTTGGACTTGTGAGAGGCTTAAAATGACCCCAGGTTGATCATAAGGTAACGTGTAACCAACGCTGAAAAGCCTTTGACTCTATCTCAATCCCTTGAGAAGTTGCAGCACTTTGAAATAAATTTTGATGGAAAAAATCGAGGCAAAAAAGTGATTTTTGGCAATTTTGAGATGTCCCCTCGTTGCCATGGTAACAGGAAATTTAAGACTGAGCATGTCGTTACAAAGGCAATGGTCCAGTCAACATTTGTGCCAAGTTTGATTAGTATTGAAGCATTTTTCATAGTTTCATAGCAGTTTGAACTTGTAAGAGGAGGCTTTTCAGTGAAAATGGCCATTTTTCACAATATGCTCATGGGGGAAAGGGTTAACTAAAAAAATATAAATGTTACAAAACAACAATTTTTCACCAAAATTAGGTAAAAGACCACATGTTAACATGGAAAAACTAGATTTTGGGTGATTCCAAGGTTTTTCATCATTTTTTGTTAACCTTTTCCCTTATATAAGCGTGTTTCGACGGCTTTTTGCCCCCCCCCCTTTTTGAGGCCTCAAACAGTGAAAAAATGTCCTATTTAGACCCCAAACACTGTTTTTCGTTTGAGAAATGTTGTTAAAAAAAGTGACCATTTTTTCGGCGCCGTCCCCCATCCAAATAATACATCAGGGGGTTGCCAGAAGGGGGATGTGCCCCCTTCTGTTTGGGGGGTTTGAAGGGGGGCGGAGTCCCCCTCATCGCCAAGAAAATTTTGGACTTGTGAGAGGCTTAAAATGACCCCAGGTTGATCATAAGGTAACGTGTAACCAACGCTGAAAAGCCTTTGACTCTATCTCAATCCCTTGAGAAGTTGCAGCACTTTGAAATAAATTTTGATGGAAAAAATCGAGGCAAAAAAGTGATTTTTGGCAATTTTGAGATGTCCCCTCGTTGCCATGGTAACAGGAAATTTAAGACTGAGCATGTCGTTACAAAGGCAATGGTCCAGTCAACATTTGTGCCAAGTTTGATTAGTATTGAAGCATTTTTCATAGTTTCATAGCAGTTTGAACTTGTAAGAGGAGGCTTTTCAGTGAAAATGGCCATTTTTCACAATATGCTCATGGGGGAAAGGGTTAAATACTGAAATTGAATTGTAGAGCTGTTTAACGTTTTCTTAAATATTTTTTCCGTATCTTTTCACAGACATGTAAGTATAGAACTAAGTCGAAAAGTGTGAACTAAACGTAATGGTAGTTGAATACTCCATAAGGTTATGTTGTTGTTTCAGGATCCCGATCGATGCTTTGACTGTAAGAAAGTAAAAGTTCTTGGGCAGAACAACACATTTGAATGCATGACAGAATGTCCGTTACCTGTCGGACAACTATACATATACCCTGATGAGAACCGGATATGTCGCCAGTGCGATCCATCGTGTGACAAGGGGTAATCATCCTTTTAATCTTGTTGCTTTTATTTAATAGAAGTATCAAAAGTCACAAGAATCGTTCTTTGTTTAGATTGAGACTAAATGAATTATTGAAAGACCACAATTAATACCGTATTCAGTATATACCAGACATAGTGTTTAATAATTAAATACTCAAAGCTCACATTTTAACGTTAAAAATTCAAATTCATCTATTTACACCGATTTATATATGATAAATAATAATAAATACAAGAATCAGGGGAAAAAAGCCAATATTTTTCTACTTTGTGATCATGATTTCTGCAAACATCTAGTGTTCTGCTTTAATACTGTCAATCGCAACTTTTCGGCCCGTACGCAAAGAAACTAAATATGTAAACAAATAGTAATTTAATGCTGGGAGAAACTGACATGTTTTATTTCCAATATATCAAATAAAAGTCCGCCACATAGATATTTAAGTAAACAGTACATTATTTATATACTTACTATTATGGTAGAAGAAACTGAAAGTACAAAAATGCCAACCAGATGACATTTATGGAAGGGTATTAACGGAAAAATTACATCTTGCCTTCTTACGTTACATTGTGCTTTTTGAATTGTACATCTTGGATTTTTACATTTTGCATTTTGACATGCACACAATGCATTTGTGGCTTACACATCTTGCATTATGACTTGCACATTTTGCTTTAAATTTCATGAATCGTTCGTTATTTGACTAGCTTCAAATTTGTCTACGTTAAAGTTATATGTTTGATGCTCAAATCAGTTCAGTTAAATTATAATGATCGCAAACTGTCTACATTAAATGTGTACAAAAATAGGAAACCTATGTTAATCGATTATACATGTATAAATAATACATGGAAGCATACACTGTGTGCAATACAACAAGGCAGGTTGCAAACTACACTCTTTTTTACGACAGAGGTCGAAAGTTCGGAAACATGTACGGAAACATACGGAAATTACCGAAAATAAACGAATATCCGGAAAATTGATCACCTTCCATACCATAGCACTTTGAACAACTGTTCTATTTTATTTTTTTTTTTGTTGATAAAAAATGATTCTTAAATCATTGATTTGGAAATGTGCAACTTGTCATTGTCAGCTTGAAACACAATTTGACACACACAGTTTCAGTAATAAATACAAAAATTGGTTAAATCGATTTGTATATATATTTACCTTATTTGCTCAATAATGGAAACGGAAATTTTAAAACAAAGGGACGAAACTTGGTAAACTGAATCCGAACCGCAATACGGACTTTACCGAGAATATAACTGTAGCGCCACCTGTTAGCATAATTTGGGTGTCACATATTATTACTCCAGATGTCGCATCGTATTATGCTTGCTGCATTCGAGTTTCGGCTATGCGTCATTCTTCCTTATGACATTCGCCATTCAAGCTGAGTAAATTGACCCAAATACAAACAGTTGTAGGTTAAGTTATTGAATTAATATACCAGATCAACAAATGAATAATAATTGATCGTTAAATAATGATATCAACTGTAGAACCTTTATTAAGATAAGTAAGGGACTTACCTAGCTATATGTCTGGGAATCTGACTGTGATGTACGGTTGTTGGAACGGATTAGTTTCACCTAGTCAATGTTGTTTGTAGCACCAATGGCTGCTTCGAAAGGAATCCAACAGAATCCCTTGCGGCCCTCCGCCGCCAGGAGTAACGACCAATCAGAGGCTACGAAACTTATACTCATGTACTCAACTTATTTCGTACCAAGGTCCGTGAGTACTACAATCCTCCCCGTCATATTTGAAGGTGTTGGTCCACGCTGACGACCTAGCCAACCAGGCTCTTATTTCTGAGACGACTTTCCTGGTTCTAACCAGTACTAGTATTGCAACTACTTGCCCGTTCAAAAAGCATTAAAGGGTACGATACCCCCTCCCTTGTGTCAGTGATTAAGCGGTCTAAATTACCAGTAACCACATATTGAGGATTCAAGGTTCTATACCAATGAAACATTTAAATTTTTGACATCTGCTCTGCCCACTTGACTGCTGGTGCCTTCCTATCCAGACAAATTTCTCCGAGTCCCACTACTTCTGGCAACTCGAGGAGAGACTGCAATTTAGAGAAACCCTTCTCGTCTATTGACTTCTTTGGGTGGATACCCATCACGGGAATAACCCCTTGGGTAGATCATCTCCTTATGCTTCTAGGAGTCGGGTAGGTCTCCGGGTCACAAAATGACGCAACTACATCCTCAAGATGTTCCTCAAGTGGACTGCAGCTGTTGATCTCTTTCAGAGATTCTGATTGTACTCCCATTCCTTCATGGTTCTGTCCAATTGACAATGACTGTCAAATGCTTCCGGGAGCCTTGGAAACTGCTCTTTATCCTTCTCCGATAGCTCATAGAGTTGCTGGAGATCTTCCTGTTGGTGTTGTTCTAGCATTGATACTAAAACCAACATGAAACGCCAATGCACCAGAACCATAACACCATAACCTCTCGGCCTAAGAGTTATGTATTCTAGGGTTTCTTCCCCTAAAACCTTACACAATTCTACCATGGCTTGTTCTGTGCCTTCATCAGGTTCCTGTTCCCTGGATACTACAGGAGACAAGGACTCGGGTAACTTCACAAGGTCCTCAAGACCCTTGTGAACTCCCAGAAGCCATCTGGTACACTACATTAAAGCAGTCAATCTTCTTTGCGAAATTGAATCTCTTGACAAAATAGGATTAAATATCCCAGGAACATGAAACATGAGGGCATGTTTCCTGCTCACATCTGCCCCACACCGTCTTACTGGACATCGCATGGACCGAACCAAAATCAACTTGGGCTTTTTCGCTGAACCTTCCCTACTTCCGGAACAATCTGCAACTCCTTGGCGTCTACAATGAGACCCGGTCCCATGAAATTGACCCCTCAAGCCATAAGCTTCGACATGATGTTGACTTCTATGAAGATGTGCTTTACAAACTTTGTAAGATCATGGGTCATAGTAATTTTTCTGCCGTCTTCACTAAAATTATCAAACGGTTTATTAAAAGAAGTATGACCCAATTATTTTATGGCATACCGCATGCTTGGTGTTCAACATTTTTACAGTTGGACGCTACGCTTTCCTCTTTTAATTACATCTGACGGACTTAGCGGGAGACTCTATAATGGACAGTTCTTAAAGCCCTTTGGTACTGAATTGTCTTAATGTCCGTCTTCTGTCTTGCTTCGTCGGGACCTTGTTGGTGATTTTCTTGTTGCTCTGCATTCCTTTAAGGCATCGAGTACTTTGGTAATGGTCATTAGGCTGTACCTTTTTCTACGTATTTACACATTTTTATGTGTTTTATTTATTTCGTCTAATGTTAACATGATCATTGTTAGAATTTCACTTGGCGGGGATTAATTTTATTAACACTTTCGTGTCATTCAGGAACATATTGGGGCTAGGAGTGAGGTTTGGCGCGCCTTATACCGGTTTAAACTCCCCAGTGGTTTAACTACCACTGACCGTTCCAAGGCGATACCTTTCTGTGTTCCTTTACGTGTTTTCATATCTGTGTTGTTACTTGTTTTTGAATGTTTACACGTTTTGTGATGTCTGCCTTGTCGTTTACGGTAGGTATATTCTCACTTCCTCCCATTTTTGGACCCCTTCCCCTTTTCACCCTTACAACCCTAATCTCATTAATTCCAAAATGAACCCGTTTTAGTTTATATTATTTCACACATTACATGTCCCTCTCTTTTCACCGCCCATATGTCCACTCCAGGTTTTGGTTTAGTGCCTTCTGGGTGCCCTACTTGGGTGTGTCGGGGGGGGGGGTGCGTCCTGTGAACATTGCCTTCGCCTTGTTGATCTTTATTCTTGTTTTTTTGGCTCTGTGGCTGTGGGCCTCTTTACCCTTTCAGCTACTCTCTTAGCGCTACTGGGCTCAGCTTTCTCCCGAATAAGAGGACGCACGGGGTTTATTGGCTTCCTCAACTGGGTCTATTTAGATGGGCTAGCTCCTAAGAGTTTCTCTGCACCTTCAGATGAAACAGACTCTATCTCTATGTCTGTCTCCCCAACACATAGCAATCTATCTTCTTCTAAATGCTCCTCCGTACGTTGAATATTTGGATCTGTCTTCATTCTAATATCCGTACCAAAAAAATGGTCTTCCCAACAAAAAATGTCTGAACTGCCTTGCAAATCTTACTACAGCTAGCAGTTCCTTCCTTGTCAAACAATAGTTTCTCTGCTCTTTAGTCAGAGCATAAGTTCCATACGCAATGACCTTTTCCTGGCCCTCATGAACGTGGAGCAACTCGGCCCCAATCGAATTATTAGATTTATCGACATCTAACATAAACTCATCTTTCAGAGTTGGTAAAGTGGGTATTGGTGGTTTAACCAGAGCCTCATTTAAAGCTTCCAAACCTTTTCATTGCTCATCATGCTACACAAATTTTTTTTCAGTCACTGCATAAAGAGGTTCAGCTAACTTTGAAAAGTTTTTATGAAACCTCTATGGTAATTAACCAGCCCAGTAAACCGTTCAACATGTTTTGCACATGTTGGTACTGGCAATTTCTGGACTACAATGTACATCAATGTCAGCCTCAGAGATTGCCAAACTATTGCAACTGACTTTTCTGCCAAGTAATTCAATTTCCATTTGAAAAAAAAGATTTCTTAGGTTTCAGCTTAAGATCACAGGCATGTAATCGTTGCTAGGCCTCTCTCAAGTTTTCTAAATGTTCTTGGAAACTTTTGCCTTCATCAAATATAATAAACAAGATCAAAAAGGAAAGACGGCTTCCAATGAACGCAATCCCCACCTAGCCAGTAACAAGAGCCAGTGGCAAAGAGCACAGGAGGACCCCAAACAAAAACAGGACAGGGCACAAGGCAGAGCACGGGCAGGCCAACCACTTAAATCATACATAGGAATGAATAATAAGTAACTGATAAGGAACTAAAAGAAAACAAATAATGTATTGAATTATAGGCCCATAAAGTCAAAGGACATAGGGGAAGGGGACATGAGACCCGGTAAAGGGGGAATAAGTAAAATAAATAAAAACTAGGAGTAAAGAGAAAGATACTAACTGTAGACGAGAAAACAACAAGGGACACAAAAGTGTCACCAAAACAGTATGAAACAACAACGAAATACATCTTAGGAACATAGAGGGGCGCCGCCTTGGAACTGTCAGCAGAATAAATACTGCTGGGGAGTTTTAACCGGTTGCACTAAACCTCGCTCTTAGCCCCACCATGTTCCTATTAACGAGACAGTGTAAGTAAAATAAATCCCCGCCAAGCGAAATTCTAACAGTTGTTATGGTTATAAAAAGTTAAATAAGTAATATACCAAAATGATCATGTAGAAAGATATAAAAGTAAACCCAATGCCTACACGAGTCTAAGTAAACTTGTTGTAGGTGTTGTGGCAGAACCACACTATCTGCCTTGGGCTAATGCTTTCCCTTGCTAGCCCTAATTCCTGAACAAAATACTCTTCCTCTTCACCCTCCCCTACCTCAATGATTTCAGATACGAAGTAGGCTCAGCCAATATCATATCCCTAAGAAATCAACTTATATTTATCAGTAGGGTTCACTACACAAACAATTGGGCCTGTGAACCCCTCCTTGATCACCCTTGGGGTCCACACTTTGACTACTCCAAGGGTTCAACGACATTATCAGGTAACTCAGTGTTCATTTTACACTTAATTTCGGCCACGGAATGAGGTGGAATAACCAATCGTTTAGCCACAGTAACTCTTGCCACCGAGGGTTACCCGACTAAGGAATTAACATCAAGCGTTATGTGCATACCATCAAAAACTATCACACCCCTCTCAATTTCTAACACAGATTGGCCTTTATCACAGAGGACATCAAAACCTAACAACGTTTGTTGTTCAATAAGCGCAACTATATATTTATCTGTGTACCATTTTGACCCAATTTTCAACCTTACTGGCCCAACAATGCAGCCACCCGTAGATAATTTCCTCCCCGCAGTTAGGAGTTTTACATCCTTAATTTTCATGGGCTTATGCTTAAAGGAATTATATACCTTATCGAGATAATGGTAACCTGAGCTGCAGTGTCGACAATTTCCCTCACTGGTTGATCACCAACCTGCACACCCATTGTAAATTTGGAAAACAGACTTAACCTGACTACGATTTGCTCAAGATTAGATTCTGTCCCCTTATCACCTGGGCTGTTATCCCTTTTATTGCAGTGGGCAATTTCTTTCGCAAGTGGGAACTTTTTTAGGGCGGGAATCCACTGCCTGAACCGACCCCTTGGCGTTTAAATGGTCCTTCGCAACCCTAAATCCGGACAATTTCTCCTAAAAATGCCCCTCCTTTCCACAATTGACTTATACGGCCCTTTATAAGCCTTATATTTTGGCCCTTTCTTTTGATGCACCAAACTTATGGCCTTTTCAAACAAACTTTTGCTCCAAATGCTGAATTGCTTTCATAACCATACGGTTGTCCGGGGTGGAAATTGAGCTAACCTATTCAGCTTTGACCGCAAAAGCACCGCGATTTTCATCGTCGCGCCGCCTAGTATCTTTCCTTGCCTTACCATGTATTGCCTTGTACACCTGTTGGTACTTTCTAACAATTTGTATTGCCCATTGAAAACTAGACGGGTACTGCATACACACATGATGTCAAGCAGCCCTTGGCAGAAACGACTGATGACCTGCTTGCTAATAAATGACACTGGCAGGTTCTTAAATGCTTTCACTGCCAATATCAACAGCCGTCCTCCATTATCTTCCAACGACTCCTCAGGATTTTGACAAGCCTGTTGGAACTGTGCTTGAAACGCAGCAGGTGAATCATGTTGCTCATACCGCGCTTCCAGCATTAAGCATAGACTCAAATATGAGTCTACCTCTTTTGTGTCATTCAGAATGACAAAGTACTCCATGGCCTTCCCTGTCAAACACCAGCAAAGACCATCTAACTTCTCTTCCTCCGACCAATTAGAGGCCTCGGCAAACCTGTTAAACTTCAAATTGAAAAAGCTTTCCAGGAGCCTGTCCCATCAAATGTCAGATGCATTGGTATTAATTTCAAAGTATTCATTAACAAGCTGGGCCGACATCGTTCATGCTCAGACCCATACCCCCTCATGTTTGATGGATTACTAATTTCGGCCTCACCATGACAACCCGTGGGGTATACTGGTCCTCTAGCCGAAGCCTAAGATTTTGTTCCCTCTCAGGAGAGAAATCATTGTCAACATCCCTTCGGGGAGGCCTCATATTAAGGTATAGATCCCCATAGGACGAACCCTCACCTGAAATTGGTCTATGTGACCCTGCAGCGGGCTCATCTTAATTTGATGCAGAGTCATGCATGGATATTGAGTCATTTTGCTGTGACATGGTTCAATAATTAAAATTAAGCGGGTAAAATACAAGAAAACAACAGCAAAATGTATCAATTACAAAATTAAATAAATTTATTCTATTAAATTAACGTTCAATTCAATTGAATACAAATTTCACACTCCACACCGGTAGGCTATATCCTGTGGTGTATGCGCGAAATAAAACCAGCCAAATTCGAGTAATAAACTCAATTACCCGAAATTTACACGTAAAAGTGCCCTATGAAATTAATGCAATTGTCTTGAGACCAATAACACCTGTTAACAGACACGGTTCGATTATTTTAGGTAACAAAAAATTAATTCACCTAAAATCTGCTGTTTTGCAGGTAGCTATTTGTACTGGCAAAACTGGTACTCAAATTACCGCTGCCACCGTTGTAGAACTTTTATTAAGATAAGTAAGGACTTACCTAGCTATATGTCTGGGAATCTGACTGTGATGTACCAATATATAGAAATCTCCCAGAACTCCTTGCGGCCCTTCACCGCCAGGAGTAACGACCAATCAGAGACTATGAAACATATACACACGTACTCAACCTATCTCAAACCAAGGTCCGTTAGTACTACACAACATTCAATTAAGCAAGACGCACACAGCAGAAAGCATTAGTGGGAGTAAGATTGCAACATGTAAAATTCAGAATGCAAGATGTACAAGTCAGAATGCAAGATTACAAGTTAGAAAGCACATGTAACGTAAGAAAGCAAGATGTAATTTTTGCGTTAATACCCTTCCATAGACATTCAGTCAGATTTGTTGATAATTGAACATCAGTGGGTGTATTCAAATACAAAATGGTTTTCATTAAATTAATTGTACCGAAACAAACTTTATTTTTCTTTGCATGTCAAATATATACATTTGTTTTACATTATCAACGATAACAGTCCATGTAACATCTGAAATCATGTGGTAGAACTACTTCACACCGTATTGTTTTTGAGGTTATTATGAGTGATAGCCGAGGATGTTCCGATTGCAAAACTGTAGTGAGTAAAATCCCTTTAATAAGTCGGATAGATATGCTGCTGTTTAAGTTACTACAACAAGCTGACTAAGTGGAAATGCCCCTGCTTGTTATCAAATTTCCTACTTTAATTGGAGCATATATCTTACTTTGTGCTTTGAATTCATGTAGTTAATCATGTAGATTGTCAATCCAAATTCTGAAAGAGTGAACTATTCTCGTGGTAGTTTTCTTATTGTCTGATGCTGAACTTTACACTTAAGGGTTTCTAGAACTTTACACTAGGGTTTCCATAACTTTCCACTAGGGTTTCCTGAACTTTACACTAGGGTTTCCTGAATTTTACACTTAAGGGTTTCCTGAACTTTACACTAGGGTTTCCATAATTTTACACTATGGTTTCCTGAACTTTACACTAGGGTTTCCTTAACTTTACACATAAGGGTTTCCTGAACTTTACACATATGGGTTTCCTGAACTTTACACTAGGGTTTCCTGAACTTAACACTAAGGTTTCCTTAACTTTACACGAGGGTTTCCTTAACTTTACGCTAAGGGTTTCCTGAATTTTACACATGGTTTCCTAAACTTTACACTAGGGTTTCCTGAACTTAACACTAGGTTTCCGGAATTTTACACTTGGGTTTCTTGAGCTTTACACAAGGGTTTAATAAACTTTACACATGGGTTTCCTGAACTTTACACTTTGGTTTCCTGAACTTTACACTAGGGTTTCCTGAACTTTAAATTTGGGTTTCTTGAACTTTAAAATGGGAGTAATTAAAAATATTTAGCACTAATCATCAACAAAAAAATGGAAAAATAATTTATTTCTTTTTTGTAGATGTACTGGACCTTCGTCAGCTGTAAAACTAGGAGGATGCAATACATGTGTGTTGGCTGTGAATAAAACTCTGGAGAATGACACTGTTCGGTGTCTACCTCGAGATCAAGAATACTGTCCTCGAGGATACTACGAAAAGCAATACAGATCTGATGTAGACCATCCACTTAATAAAAAAAGGGTATGTATTATATAGCGATTTAAACAAATGTTCCATTTTCTCTCTTTCCTTTAATTTGCAGAACGAACTAAACTTAAAAACTTAGTCTTTAAGTTAGAATCTGAAAAGCTTGGGTAAACTACAATAAAATTTGTGTTTTCTCAATTTGTCAAAGTTGTGTTATTGTTATTAATTGTATCTGACACTAGTAACATGAATTTTAATTAATGATTTAGTTTATTGTCTTATTTATGATAGTTCTTTTGTGTCAGTCAAGTCAAGTAAATTTTATTTACACGTCGGATACATCAACAATAAACATAAGCTCTGATGAGCTTTTTACACCGACTTCTATAAAATAAAACACATGTTTAAGATATGATAAATGACGAAAATGGTTATGATAGAATAAGACAAATAGCATTGCATTAACAAATAGAGTAGACAACAGCAAATGTACTAGCTTTTCGTAATACAAAAATAAGGGTAATAAATTGACAAAAAAAAAAATCCAAAATTTTCATACTAAAAGGGTTAAAATCAAAATCAATTTTTAAAAAAACGAACTTTGCGAGGAACTCAGCTACATCCCCAAAAAATGTAGACAAAACCAATTTTAAAAAAAGAATTATTATAAAAAAAATAAAAAAATGGTTGGGCTCGAAAAAATGACAAGATTAAAAAAATTTTAAAGAAAATCACCCCGACAAAAAATTCCAAAATTGTTTACAAGTATAAAAAAATTAATGCACATAAAAAAAAGAATAAACTATACAAAAAAACACCAAAAACATGCACATAAAAAAAAAAAAAATCTTCCAAATTAAAAACACACAAAAACAGTCTTAAAAATAATTAGCAAAAACGGGGAAAAAACAAATAAAAAAAAGTCTTTTTTTTAAAAATCCGCTGTCGCTGCCAAAATTTTGGGTTTTTTTTTTTGTAATGGTTATTTATATTTGAAGTAAGGACGTTTCCCTTGCCCTGATTTTTCAATGATCTAAAAGGTTTAAAAAAATGATTTGTCAAAATTATTGGAAGTGATTTCCCAAAGTTTTTTGGGAGGGCATCCGGAAAGTTTTACCAATCTGTTCAAAAATTGTGTTCCCAATTAATTGGAATGTTTAGATGAAGTAAAATCTTAAAAAAACAGGGAATATATTTGTTTTTTTTTTTAAAAACTTGCTATTAATCTCCTAAATTTCAAAAAAAATAAAGGGGACTTTTCAAATAGTTGATCTTTCTGTTAAAAACTCATAAAAAATCTAAAAACTCTTTCCCGATTTTTTTTATTTTTTTGTGTTTGTTCTTGTAAATGCCAAAAAAGGGAAAATTGAAATTTGACTGACAAAAAATAGATATTTGGGTTTCTTAATTTAAAATTTTTCAATTCTCTTTTGTCTTCAGTTTTTTAGGGCTTTTACTATGTTTACACTGTGAATTAAAAATTTAACTAAAATCTAGTTAACACAAACGCTTTCTTTACATCCAAAGTTTTCTTATTTTTGAATTTTTTAAATTTTTTCTCTTGGGTTTTCCGGGCTTTGCCGGAACTTTCAGGGTTAGCCTTTATTTGATTTTTTTGAAAAAAGTTATCAAAATTAAAATTCTTTTCAAAATGCTAATTTGTCTGTTTTACAAGTGCTTGAGTAAAAATAGTGTTTTCGCTTTATACGTTTCTTTTTTTATGAAAAAAAATGTCGTTTTAAAAAATTAAAAAAAATCGGGCCCAAATTTGGCTTGTGGGGGCCTTTAAATTTTGTTTTGTAAACCTAAATATATTCCCATTTTACAAATTTTTCCTTTGACAGATAATTTTAAAAAGATTTAGTGTTGTTCCATACCCTAAATTTTATTTTAAAAAATAAAAAAAAAAGGCAGCAGTCGAAGGTTTTGGGGATTCCTTGGGTAGCTGCGAACTGGTTTTTTTTCCCAAAAAGTACCCCGTCTTCAAAAATTTTTAAAAAAGCTGTTTGAACCCTAAAAGGTTAAAAAACTAGAAAGGGATTAAAAAAGTTATCAAAAGTAATCAAATTTTTCATAAAAGGGGTCTCTAAAAAACCCTTTGACTTCAGGTAAAAAACTGACGGGTTTTAAAATTTCCCCTTGTCTAAAATAAATTTTTTTCTTATGAATGGGTAAACTTTACTTTTTTTAAAATTTCTGGAAAAAACGATACTTGTAAAGCAAACTATTTATTTAAAATCTGTTAGTGGTTGAGGTTAAAAAACAGGGGAAAGGGAATTTTTAACATTTTAACTGGGAAAACTATCAAAAAACCCGTAGCCCTTTTTTATGCTTTATTTCCCATTTAACCCCTGTGTGGATGCTTTTAAATTATTGAAACAATTTTAGAATCATTCTTTTAAAAACAAACCCGTACCAAGCAATGAGTGTAAAAGTCTCGCTTACAGAAAAAAAAAGGTTGGGCCCCCGGCGGGGGTTTTTAAATAAGGGGGGCCAACAATTTCCCTTTGATTTCCCAGTTTGACTCCGGCCGCCGCCCTTTAAGATTTGAATTAAAAGCTTTTCAACTCTAATTGTATCAAATATGGGATAAATAATGTTAAACAAAAAATGTTGTAAATGACGTTTTAAATTTTATAAAAATTTTTTGTAATATGTATTTTAGTGTAACATAAAACCCCAAAAGGGATGTCTGCATGAAGGGTTATGATAAAATTTCAATTGCTAAGGGTAAATTTAAAAATAGCCCAAAAAATAATTGCAAAAGTAGTGTTGTTCGAATTGGGTAAATTTATTTTAATTTTTATAATGTAGAAATAAAGAATATTTTATTTTGGGTAAGAGACCCTTTGGGTGTATATGTACACGACCCATTGGTTTAACACTCTGATTTCTTGTCTTACCTGTGACCGCTAAGGGTTTGAATATATAAACATTGAATAAAAGTATACAGGGAACTTATATAACGCATTTTTGTAGAGCCAAATTTTGCCATTGCATTTGTGTGTTAAGAAATACTATATTTTAATATATACCATCATGTATTCAGGTCAGTGCAAATTGTTCTACTTTCATTTACCTGTACCTATAAAACAGGAACCAATATGTTTATCATGTTATAGAAATGATATGAAATAAATAGGGTAGAAAATGTGTAACTGGCTATTTTGCTCACTCTGTATGATGAAGGTTCGAGTCATGTATATACTGCACCATGTGACACCTGGTACTAAGCATGGACCATGATTGTTTACAACTATTCTGCTAGGCCATTTGCTCTTTGTACCCATTAGAAATTTGAGAACCTTTAAGATGATCTGAAAGATGATGATGCCCACATGATGTTCAACCCACGCTTTCCAGATATCTTTGATAGACTGAAAGTAACAAAATGTTGGCATAATAAATGGGAAGTGTTGACATATAGAATACTTTTCATCTAATCGCTAGTATAGTTTTTTTATCAACCAGTAGGAAAAATGATTTAAATCAAGGTAGAGGAATGGCTTTATCAAAGATTGTATTGGAAACTGATTGTTATTTTGATGGTGTTATCATATAATGTTGGTCAACTATATTATATAAATGTTCCAATCTTAACATTGTTTTTGTTTGATCATGATTGAAATTCCATCAATTTTCAGGTATGTCAACAATGTGACCATCTATGTTTAGAATGTAATGGACCAGGGTATGCATATTGTCCTAGATGCAGATATTACAAATACACCGACATATATCCCATTTGTTTAAAGGAATGTCCTGAGTATACATATTCATACCAGTATCAATGTTTTCCATGCAGTAATCAATGTTTGGGTGGTTGCCGTGGTGCCGAATCACTAGATTGTTATAACTGTCGTAATTTCAAGGTCTTTGTTGATGAGGATATGCATAAGGTAAGTGTTAAGACATATTAGACTCAGCATTGTTGACTTACATTATATGCTGACGAGACTCAAAACTTTATGCTGACAACACCCAGCACTATATCCTGACCACATTCAACAATGTATCCTGGCCAGACCCAACACTGAATCCTGTCCAGACACTTCACTTTATCTTGACCAGACTCTACACTATATTCTGACCAGACACAACACTATATCCTGACCAGACTCAACACTGTATGCTGACCAGACATTACACTATATACTGATCATACACAACACTATATCCTGATCAGACTTTACACTATATCGTGACCGGACTCTACACTATATACTGACCATACACAACACTTTATCCTAATCAGACTCAACACTATATCTTGACCAGTCACAACACTATATCCTGACCAGACTCAACACTATATACTGACCATAAACAACAGTACATCCCGACCAGACGTGACACTGTATGCTGACCACACCTAACATCATACCCTTACCATACACAACAATATATCCTGACAAGACACAACAATATATCAATATATTCTGACCAAACTCAACTCTATATCCTTTCTAAACAACACTGTATATTTGACCAGACTCATTTCTAGATTTGACAAGACACACCACTATAACATGACCACACCCTCTATATATCCCTACCAGACCTGACACTATATCTTTACCAAACTCACTTTAAATGCTGACAGGACTGAACACTATATGTCACGACCAGACTTGACACTGTATGCTGACCAGGCACTATTCTATATCCTGGCCAGACCCAACACTATATCCCAGACCAGACTTGACACTGTTTGCTGACTAGACTCAAAGCTTTATCCTAACCAGACTCAACACTATATTCTATCCAGACTCAACACTATATCTCGACAAGACTCAACACTATATCCCTGCCAGACCTAACACTATATCATCACCAGACTTAACATTATATGCTGACAGGACTAAACACTATGTCACACCAGACCTGAAAAAATATCCTGACTAGGCACTACACTTATTTCTTAACCAGACTCTACACTATATCTTGACCAGACACTTCACTGTATGCTGACCAGACACTAGACTATATACTGACCATACACAACACTAAATACTTACCAGACTTTACACTATATCTCGACCAGACACAACACTATATCCTGACCAGACATTACACTTTATCCTAATCAGACTCTACACTATATCTTGACCAGTCACAACACTAAATCCTGACCAGACTTAACACAACACTGTATGTTGACCAGACACTTCACTATATACTGACCATACCAAACACTATATCCTGACCAGACACAACGCTGTATGCTGACCATACACTAGACTATATACTGACCTTACACAACACTAAATCCTGAACAGACTCAACACTATATTTTGACCAGACTCTACACTATATCTTGACCAGACACAACACTATATACTGACCAACACATAACAATGCTGAATAAATACTTATTTTTCAACTTTCAAACAAATTGGG